GATGTTTACAACACGAACTCACTGCAAAACAATGGAGTAAGAACGTCTATTCACACACAAACATTAATTTTTCAGCTCCTTGCCAAACTTTACAGCAATTTTAATTTATCTATGCATATCGAAACCTTTTTCTATAAAAATTTGATTGATAGGAGAGTACACCAGTGAGACAATATTGACCATTTCAAACTAATAATTCAGGTTTTTACATGTAAAAGCATATTAATTGTATTTTCATAATTAGCAAATAAAGAAGCGAAACCTAGTTTGAAAACGTATACGTTTTTATAGAACAATTTTTTAATAAAATGACACGATGAAACCTCTCTTTAGGTTTGATCGCGCTTCTTCATGCGGATTCAAAGCAGTAGCCTTTTTTCTTGATAGAAAACGTTCTATCGAACTCTTCGAACTGTTGCAGAAGACTTTCCGAATACATAATTCAAGAAATGGATATACTACACAACAATTGATCTGTTTTTTTAATTTGTTTTGCTAAGTTGTTATTGTAATTACCAAATATTGTCCAAAAAAATGATCTCCTTATAGTAAATACGTATTATCCGTATGTATTGATTTTATTTAACCAAAGTAATGATTTAAATTTATTTTTTATGTAAATTGCTGTTGAGACGAAAAACTAGTCAACGAGAGGGACTCGAACTCACGACCTCCGGCTTTATAATACTCTATAACATTACAATTAATTAAGGTTTTTAGTTGAGATGAAAAGAAGTTAATGCACGAGCGGGATTCGAACCCACGATCTTCGGCTAAATACGCCGCTGCTCTACCACTTGAGCTATCGTGACCTCGATCCACTCGGACATCAACTTCCCATCNATCTCAACTAAAAACCTTAATTAATTGTAATGTATTAATTGGTCAAGCGGACCACGAAATTAGTGAATACTCTATAACCCTGTGATCTAACCCCTTGACAGCGGATATCGTGAGTTTGAGTCCGCTCGTGGCACTAATTTTTCATCTCAACCACACTTTACATAAAAATAGGTAAATTGCTTATAAAATTAAATTAAATATTAAAGTCAATTTAAACTATTATCTTCTGTGAACAAAATAGTCATATTCATCTAGATTGTAAATTTTTGGAAGAAATTGCAACCATTTGGTACTAAATACTAACTATCTAACATATGAGAAATATGTTCATTTTTTACAGTATAAAAACTATGCCAAACGTGCCACAAAAGTTAATAATTAAGGTAAATTAATTATCCTTTTTCATTTCTTAGACGAAGCCTCGCCACCATAGTAATAAAAGACTGGCGTAACAATGTTAAAAAATACTACCCAGTTCATTTAGGTTATTAGGATTCAGCTAAACAGAGTGTCTCGGCTTTAATAAACATTTATGTCCAAACTCCGAGGAATTTTCCACTTTTTATTCTGGTCACCTAAAATGGAGGGGAGTTCTCTCTCAGCTCGGGATTTATTAAAGAATTAAAAACCTCGTTCGCGGCACAATTACAATTACAAGCTCCCCATTTGTAATTCCGCGATGGGGGAGGTTGTGCGTCCCAGGGGCGGAATTAAAGGTGGAAGCCGCCCTCTTCCCCCTTTTTCCTCGGGGGGTTCCTATTTATAATCGGTCCGACCCCTTTGCCCGCAGCACCCTGACCCGAGAGAAGGGTGCCGAGGATAAAAATATGTGGCGTTACTTGAGGTGTTGGGGAGCGGCGACAACCGTGAAATGAGAGACACCCCGCACCGTCCACCGTCACCCACTTCCAATTCCCCCGCGAGGACACCCTGTTCTTCACTATTCATTAACCCTGAAAAAACCCTTGCAGGTCATGGACCATGTTTATTCCATTCTCTACTAACTTGTCTGAAAACGGCTTCCACCCCTATCTTTGTAAAAGAGTGGTACAAAGTTAAACCTAACAAGAACAATTTGCTATAATAACGCGGTTTTAAACATTCAATGGAACAACATTATTCATTTTAAAATTGGTGGTGGTAGTTGTTGGTCTGCGAGTAGCCGCGTTGATCTGATGGACACTGATCATATTACTTGGTCCGTTTACTCTCGCCGCTTGTCTTCTACCTTTCCACTAAAAATGGCATGTAGAAAAACTCGATTTATTCAAATGAGAACCAGCGTAAATAGACGGACACCATAAAAGACCTGTGCCAATCTGCTCAGCATAAGCCAGTTTGTTTGTATAAACTAACATCGTTGCAAATAATAAAAAACTACAATTCTGAATTTTTAACTACGTACGACGTAGAGTATCTTTCGATCTTCTTATGGTAATGAATCAGATACTTTCAAAATAAAATTAATATATTTAACCACCCAACACCCAGAGCATCCAACTCACTGTCCAAGCCTTCTTTTCATCTTTTCATCCCAAGAACCCCCCTCGTCATCTAAATTGACGATAGCCTCAAAAATTCCTCCTCCCACCAGAAGGAATGCATTCTATAAAATATTTTTTCGAAGCCCTAGGGGATTTATTCTACGAAATCTCGACAAAGGAACTGAGTATTCTCTTTGTAATTGTTCCCAACACTGATGGTTTTTTAAAATATAATTAAAAAATAATAACTAGTTGAAAACTGATCACTATTTTACAGGGTGCCTACCGACTAGTGTTACCCCTGGTTTTCTCAAAAACTACTCAACCTCGAAAATATGTGAACTGAATTTTTATTAGCGTAATCTCAGAACAGAAAGAATAGTGCATTAATTGTAGTGGTTTTTTTTCAATTTCTTCAACAAGTTAAAACATGAAATCTTTTTTTTAATGTAATCTACATTTTCGTATATGGATTTAGGAAGGCCCCAACTATTGGAAAAATAACACGTTAAAACAAATATACTTTACAATAGTGTTACAGCCCTTGGCGATGTTGGGACTGAGTCGGTTTTCAAAGAAATGTATTATCTCAATGTTCCGACATTTTTAAGATTGTTTTGCCCCGATGATACCATGAATAGGTCGAAAGCTTGGTAATAATAATAATTGAATTTGTTTCTTCATCCAGACCACACCAACATCCAGATTATTCAAGATGAAAACAGGTATCGCTAAAAATCGGTACTTGGACAGCTTTTCCAAATGATTATAATATTTTGATAGTCGATGTTATATCAATAATTTTAAAAAAAACTGTTACAATTTAAAAAAATTCTAGGTTGAACCGTTTTTTAGAAATCCTAGAGGGGGCGCTAGTAAGTTACAACTGTAACTTCCTAACGTTTTAAAAAAACGGTTTTCTCTAGGTTTTCCCCGTTTTTCATAAAACTGAGTTGAGTTGAATGATTCCGAAAAAGAAAACGTATGTTACTATTTGAAAAACAAAAACGTTATGTACTAACGTTTTTAAGAAATGGAAAAAGCTGTAATTAGTGTAATATATGAAAGTGAAGCTTATGCTAAAAGTATTGCTTAAATTTTTTTCAATGTTGACTAGGTTTTAAGAAAACAAGGGGGAACCCGAGTCAGTTAAGTTCCTAGTTATAAAATTATTTAATTATGCATATTAAAAATCGACCTATAATGAGACCAATTAGAACAATGTATGTTATGATTATTTGAAGGTCGTGAGATGCGGCTGGTGTGACGTAAGTTTTAGAAAAACATTTTCTTTATCGTGCCAACGTTTCGATCTTTATTGAGATCATCTTCAGGACTCAAAGTGTTTGTTTTCCGTGTAGATGTGTCATTCTTGTCTGAGTGCCCCCCACTCTCAACACGACAGACGATAAAGAAAATGTTTTTCTAAAACATACGTCACACCAGACCGCATCTCACGAACTCCAAATAATCATCAAGCAACGGTTACTAAACACCACACACTTGTAAATATTGAATATATTATTTATTAGGATCATGCACAATAACTGATGTTATTTTTTAATTGGGTTTTATTTAGAATTATTTTTATTAGAATAATTAATCTTTCACAATCGTTTTGGTATATAATATCTACTGAAATCTAAGTAGTTACGGTTAGTTTATTAAGCATGGTAGACAATTACTAACAATGATTTAGTTATTTCGTTTCTGCTGAGCGTCTGCCTTGTTCTAGGCCGTTAGGTACAAATACGCCAGGAAAACCCTTCAATTAATCTTTAAAAGCATAAGGGATGCAACAGTTTATGAAGTGGAATAGAACTCAGGGGAGTCGTTAGGATCCTCATCCGTGAAATGACAACCACTCACCAGTAGGCGAGATTTTTACCTCCTAGCTGCGATTTTGGAAGCATCCGTCAAGACATTAAAACACTTATTTCACCGCCACTCAATGCCGTGATTCTAACTCGTCCAATATATGGTAAATTATTCACACGGGTAAATAAACAATGCAAAAATATTCAACAATCGAGACCGCTGCACGAGAAATGCATGGGACAATTCGTATTATTCGAATCCGACGATACTTCTGCCCGTGGAAAATGGTGGTAATAAATCCTATGGGAAGATGTGAATATGAATCTCTAATGGGACCGGTGGAGATGTTTATTACGCCATTAGGAAGTAATTATTGTCTCTCCGAAATCGCCGTGTTTTGCATGACGTGGCTGATGCCTGTTATTAGGGCCTGCGTGACCCATCTCACTTGAGCACGGTTTCTTTCTATTAGTTTGTTTTCAAGTGTCTTGTCCCGCAACGTTTCCTTGGAGACCTCGAAAATAAGTAAAACAATGTAAATGTCTTGCCATCTACCATTATTATACATCTAATTGTTAGATTACTATAATCTCCAGTTTTTCATTTAAGTTGAATTCGCGAAAAACAATAATTCTTAATAGTAAATAAAAATTATTTTTTATTAGTAACGTCGACGATTTGTAATTATATAAATTGATAACCTAATATGTTATAAAATTGGGCTGAAAGAGCATGACATATTCAACCAGAAGATAGCTTCATATTAAATACTGATTAAAAATTTTCTCGACAAAATTTTTTTATATAATTTCTTCTTTGTAAAATTAAATTGAAAAATATTAAAAGAAAATTTACCTGTAACGCTGAGGACTGTCTGGATTAGAAGAACTCTGAAGGGCATCTTCATTTTAAATCATTTCGTTATTTATTTCTGTTTCTATCTCCTTGAGCTAACACGAATTCTCCTAACTGGCTTCCCTTTTGTCATTCTGGAACAGAAGAAAATCATAATCATAAGGTTTCATTCGATTACAAAATTTTAGAAGGAACGATAAAAGATGTTTTCAATTCAAAAGTAATACTTGAGAATAATTAATGACGTAAGCTAAATTTATTTATAATAAAACTATTATTAATATATAATTTCGTCACTAAAACAATTTTAATCGTATTTGACCAAAGCGCGCACGTTGAACAACCAACTTTCGATAGCAAGGAAGATTCTTGAATAATAGCTGCAAAATGTGGGTATAGAGATTTGTCATATATGATTTAGGCTGATTTTGAAAATGGCAGCACATAAAAGATAATGTTGTGATTATTGAGTTTAGCGTGAGATATTGAAAATGTAGTCAAAGTCGACAATTGAAATATTTCCATGTTTCACTACGGTCATAGGGAATATTTTCAAGAAATAGAATTTGTAACGATGAACTAGATTATCGACCTGCTGGATACAAGAAGTCTTTTCAGAGGATCTTCGGAAGAGGTCAAAACAGAGAAAACTTCCTTACGGTTTTCGCCGAGCTTTCGACAGTTTTATACTGTCATCTTCAGGGCCTGTTTTATTATCATATAAACAAACAATTAAAACATGAAAAAACAATAATTACAACAATAATTGGATATCTTACTTTAAAACCTTAATAGGAAATTAAACAACATGGTGTTTTGGGCACAGAAGTACATTATGTTTTTTTCGGCTCAGCATCTAAATATTGATTTAAATGGAATACATTAACAATTAAAAATTATAGCTAAAATTACAGTAAAAATAAAGTTAAAAAACGTGGTCGAGAAAGGTTACCTCATATAAGTCTAAAAAACCAATAAAATCCACCTTTTTTTAGTTTTTCAGGTACAAATGATCACAGTACGTTTCCCAAATATATATATACATATACAATTAACTTATTTTAAAATTTAAATAACAATAAAGTAGGATCACAGATCAAATCAATAAAAACCGATAAAAACAATCTCTACGACGAGGGGAAACAAAGGATACGGGAAACAATCGTTTTTTCTCCTAGTTAACATAAAATCCGCCACTAGGGCGATGTTCTACTTTCCCTCCTTTGCTTAGAAATCCTGTATTCATTTAGGAGGCCTGCAAAAACCGAAATGGATCCCAACCTATCAGTTTATAGATTACAAGTATTTGGGGTGACACTGATATATACTTTCTCGGTCAATAATCTCCTTTCCAAGTTCGACTCCCCGGACAAAATTTTCTGGGAGTCGAACTTGAAAAAGTGATTATTGTTTAACGCATGGGTAGCAAGTCCAGATATCTTTTTTTTATTGTCGCAATCCAACCTGTGTTGGTTCAACCGCGCAGACAATTTTTGCTTTGTTTGACCATAGTTGACATTGCATTCACCACACGACACCTGATAGACCACATTGCAAAGTGATCCGATTGGTAAAACTGTCGAAAGCTCGGCGAAAACCGTAAGGAAGTTTTCTCTGTTTTGACCTCTTCCGAAGATCCTCTGAAAAGAAATAGAATTTTTCATAGGTGCGAGGGAATTCAGGAAAAAAATATTTTTTCGTATTACTGGTTCAAGAATTGAAGAATCTCGTGTAGAAAATGTGAAGATGTTGCAGTCCAAACAATCGAGTCTCAAGACGACTTGGATCTTCTTAAGTCAATTCAAGCTGTGGATTGTAACACGGATTCTGTTGGATTTAATCGCCATGATTCACACTTCAAAAAAATCCAATTAAAGAAGAAAGTCATCCAGATCTCTCCATCCTACTTGGAATGTAGGCGACGTATACATTGCGAGGATGAAGAGAAAAATCCACAATTCCGCTGAAATATCGATATCTGAAATATCATAAATTCATTTTACGTCATCCGATTTCGCTTTCTGTGGAAACCCCGTCCGAACGTGGATTGGTGAAGATTTTATCTACACACCTACCGGGTTTTCTATCACTCCATCAAAGAAAAAAGCCGAGGAAGAGCCATCCAAAGATTTTCAGTATTTTTTTATTCAGGTGTTTACAATCTAATTATCTTATGTATCAAAAGTTTTAATTAAAAGTCCAACTATGTATTTATCCTAAGAGTCTTCTACTTAAACCTTCTTCTGAGTTGAGTTTTACTAAATAGATTTATTTAATCCAACTATTGTTAATATCAAACAGACACTTACAAATTGTATAATGATCTTAGAGGTGACATTAATTTTAGGGTTAGACAAATAAGTTTGACACTGAATTGTACCATAATGTAAAGTTTCTGGACTTGAAAATAATTTCGATGAGATTGAAAATAAAAAAGGCCAGCTTTCAGTGGAAGTCCTAGAAAATAATTTTATTTTACTTAATGTAGGTCTCCCAGTGACAACCCTCGGCATTTTACTAACATGAATGTTAATGTCCAAGTGTTGTGAACCCCGTTTGGTCTAACCATAATTACTTGTCTTTAATAAGCAATTTATATGTTGAACGTTTTGTTTCCCACTCTGATCACATTCGTCTCTACTATCTAACGTACAATTAACCATCATAGCAAAGGCTTTAATAACATCTTATTCAAATACATACTCCCCTGGAAACTGTGCTGCGATCACAATTTAAAGATATACCATTGTGTTCTCGTAGTATCAAAAGTAGTATAAAATACAAAATAACTCGAGTTACCATCTGAACTCTAATCTAATATCTGCTATTTTCGAAACCGATACTAGATTACTGAATACTACATTAAAAAGTTGAATCTATCTTAGATAGGAATCCCAAAACCTCTCCCTTTTATATGACTAAGAATGTATTGCTGCTAGAAAATTTTCTAAAGCAAGGCTAAAACTTTCGTCAGAAAAAAGCAAACTATAACCTCAAACAAATACATGGCAATGCAAAGGAAAATATAAGAACTTAACCAAATTAACAAAAAAACTTTACACTTGAACTAATAAATTTAGTATATATCTGTAAACATAGTAAATCAATTTGGCAAACAATAAACAGTTTCAGACCTACAAATATACAATTAATTTGTACAATTAATTAACATATCAACAGATCAATGAACATCGTTTTTAGAAGTTGCTATAGGACGAGTGTTAGGGGTACAATTTGATATTTACATCCCACTCCGGCAACTTCTATTACTCTCGATAAACTGATTTCCTCTCTCTGTAAGATCAAAGCTAATAAAACTCCGGGCCGGGCAAGAAAACTAATGAATACTTTAAGAAGACCTTGAAAACTGGACTTTATATTTGGTAAATTTGGTCTAAACCCACTTGTATCAATGATATAAAAAAATGAGAAATAAATATTCGGGATAATTATCGTTCCATTGCACTATTGAATTCTGTTTTGAAAATTTTTACACAATGAATTTTTGAGAGATTAATTTTGTAGATGATGAATGGGAGTCTATTCTGAAACTCAAAATAGCTTTAGAAATCTCATGTTATTAAATCTTATAGTCCAACATAATTTAAACACAAAATCAGAGATTTCTTCGTTATTTTAGAAGAGTAGAGAAAAGTTTTCGAAAGCGTTATTCATAATATTTTATTATACGAAATGTACCAAATTGGAATTAAGAATATAAAAGGTCAAAAGCTGTACCAGTATTACGGAAAAAATATTCCTGACTAAGGGCGTCCTGCAAGGTGAGGTTCTGGATATTTGTTCAATTTGTTTATCCGTGTTCTTGTGAATATCATATGTGTAAAAATAGTGGAAGATCGTTATCAGGCAGAAAGGTCGAAGTGTCAGTTTGAAAAGTTGCTGATTCTACTAACGACAGTCAATACACCCTTTTAATTTTCAATCTGTTTTCTTATTTCATTTTGCTTTGATTGTTACAAAGTCACATTTTGTGTTATACTTTTATTTATAAATATGTTGAAGAAAAAGGTTGTTGAATTTTAGTTTAAATTTTTTTTTTGTTTAATCCTCACAAAATAATTGCTGGCACCGGCGAGATAAGTAATGTTGTTGAATTCTCGATGGTTTAGTCGCGAGGGCGCTGACTGACATGGAGCAAAGTACTCCAATAGAAGAAAAGATAAGTGGAATATCGTATTCGGGCTTACTGCCGGTTTCTAATATGAAAATGGGGAACTAAGAATTCAAAAATATAAGAAAAATATAGTGGCAAACGCTTTCCGGAAGACGAAGTTCGGAGTAAGTCAAAACCAATAGAAAAAGGTTTGAAAGTCAGTTTGCGAAGTTAGTAAAAAGAAAGTTAGAAAAATTGCCATAAATCCGACGAATCTGAAAGAAAAAATGTGTACCTTGAACTACAATTAAAATTGTAGACCTGTCACCTTTGTAAATCAAACATCCAACAAATTAAAAAAGTTGTTGGAAAATAAATGTACAAATAACATACAGATTTAGTAATAAGATAGGTAATAAATTTTTCACTAATTTATCAATAAAGGGAATTATCAATCGTAATGAACTGTATACAATGCAATGATTGCCCCACTACATGCAATGTCCAAACAAAGAGGTACCTTGTAGTACTGCTATACTACCTGAGACCGAATTAGACAACATACTGCAAAGATTTAAGCAGACCAGGTAATTCATCGTTCAAACATAGCCAAAAGAAAACACATACATTCGACTTTGAAGATGTTAAAGTTAATGCAAAACGACCTGAGCCGGAGGTTGATGAAAGAAATGAGGTACATCTTCAAATAAGAATATGCTTGTAATTTAGTCGGGGGAAAATGCTAGTAATTAATAAATGGGTTGTTGAATATATAGTGGAATTTTAAATTATGAAAATTCATGTTCATTTAACTGCGCGCATGTTTAGCGAAATATGTGTATATAGCTATTTATTGGCCAATATACGTACTATTTATTTATATAATAATTTGTGTTATGTAATATAAAAAGGTACTGGTGTGTTAAATGGTTTATACTTAATAATTATTTATGATCTACACTAAAGAACAAAAAAGTCCCACGTTCATATTTTTAATTATCTCTTAGACAATTAAACATT